CCCCAAAACCCCAAAACCCCAAAACCCCAAAACCCCTATTTTCTAGCTAATAATTGAGAAAGTTAAAATGCCAAATAACTATTCTAATATAATTTACTAATTTACGTTGTTTTTATAGTTGGTTCGAAAGCTATTTAGCCTCTTGTTCAGGTACTCATTAGTGAGAAGGATGTTGTCAAAAGAGTCTCTCTTTTTTTCAGTCTTTGAATTACTACCTAAGCATTTCTTTGCTTGTAGCAAACTTTTGAGATATGATTTAGAGCTTTCCTTGGATATTCGACGACAGTTCCTTCTTAGTAAGCTATTATTAAGATTATTTTGTTTGATTTTCTTGGAGGTATTTCTTAAAGTTATATTTTTCTTAATGAATCAGTCTTTCCAGGGTGAGTTCTTCCTTATTGCATTTCTTAATTTGTTTATTTTGGAGAGGGCAGGGGAGTTTGGAGTAACCTTGTTTGTTTCAGTGAGCAGTATAGGGCCTATATATGTAATTGTTAAGCTTGGTGGTTCATTGCATAAAGTAGATAAATTACCTGTGATTTTGAGCTGCGTCATTCCAGGTTTACTGAATCGTATATTTTGGCTAAAAGGTAGAATTTAGTATTAAAGTTTGTCTCATTAAGAATTTATTTTAGAGAAGAATGCATTTAAATCAAACCTTCCAAGATTAAAGACGTGCTGACTTATTTAATACTTTCCACTTTTTTGTTAGATACATCTAAGTCTATAATTCAGAGTTAAATTGGCTAAATCAAAATTTGGCGTACCTGTAGTAAGATTAATAACTTGATTCAAGTCTAAGTTGTTCTGCTTATTTGTAAAACGAGTTTTGGGTAATATTTTGAATGTTCAGATTTTTAGAATATGTACATCTCTCTGCAGTATCCGCAAATGCTCAGTTCTTAGACTGAGAGCTACTTGGTGTCACTCAAACCTTGATTTCACTCGGCTGGATAATTCGACTTAAGTCTCCACTGTCGGTGGTATGTTTCTTATCAATCAGAATTTTAATATCCTCATTCATTTTCCTTCGGGAGGTGTTCTTAGTCTTACGAGTGTGAGATAGCAAGTATTTTCGAGGTTTCTTGCAGTCTCTTTCTTTGATATTTGGAATTATCTGCGAAATCTTAAACTCTTCTAACGGAGTGTGAGAGCTTTTGATTTCATCATTGTAGATGTTCAAATTCCTCTTATTTGTTTTTATTATTGGGCTTAAGTTCCTCCGATGCATTGCAAATGAAGATGTAGCAGTCGACATTGACCTGCTGTTCTGTGAATGATGACTTGATCGCTTTATCTTCTGGCGGTAAAGCTCATTGAGATGAATATTTTTACCCCCAGGGTGCCTGGCTATGATATCTGGACTAATACAAGTCTTCCGTTTTAGAGAGTATAGGTTCTTCATTGGGTTCTGATAATACATTTTGAATCTGCTTTGTGTTCTATAAATTTATTTTTATATGGGGTTTTGGGGTTTTGGGGTTTTGGGGTTTTGGGGTTTTGGGGTTTTGGGGTTTTGGGG